TGAGCAGTAACAACAAAAGTAGCAAGCAGTTTGTGGCGGATGCCAGGAGAGCTCCTGCTTTGAATTATTTTTCAGCAACAAAGACAACGTTAATTATTAACTACTTTACATCAGGAATAAACACATAGGTGGGCCCAAATTAACTTTCCCATATGCTTCTGAACCAGATGGGCATGAAGCATCTCCCACATTGACAAGACCTCCTGTGTCCCACACAGATGTGCCCTCCACCTCATCTGCCTCATGTCACCTTGCCTGGAAACCTTTTCTGTCCCATAGCAGGAAACCTGTGCTGTGTGCTGAGGAGGAGGCAGAGAGATGGATTACTGAGCTTGCAGCTATGCACAGGATGTGTCCTCTTGGAAGTGTGAAGGTGGTGCTAAAACGGTAAGGCATATAGCGCAGGGCGTTAGGTGTTTGTGCACTGAGCATGGATGTTTGTTCTTATATGACGTATTATTTTTATCTGAGTCCTCATGAATCCAACATGCAAAAAGTTGTTACTGGCAAAAAAGCATGATATTTTATTTGAATGGTTGGGGATGATGTGTGATTTTAATGCTAGTGTTAATCCTGTAATTGCACAGAATGTTTTGAAAGTAACATAAAAGACAACATAAATGTGTGCATGTTGGTATGTGCAACTTCTCGCTGCACTCGGGTTCATCATTTGATGCTGGCAGATGTTCTTATGGGCCAAGGATCTGTATTTTTAGAGAACATGGACATATTTTTGCTCATATGGCAGAGGAAAAAGTGAGAGGATGAAAAAAAGGAACCGAGGTGACACTGTGAAAAATAGAGGCAGAATAAGAGAGTGACAGAGTGAGGAAAGGAGATGACAGATTGCTCTCCTGTGGCTGATGTACAAACCAGCACTGTCACCCTAAGTGTCTGTACCCTCTGACAAACACCTGTGCTTTTGCCATTGGCCTTTCACCTGAGACACAAAACCTTGACTTCGAAACAGCTGGAAACACCCGTGTCATCTTTTTTCTCCTGTATGAGTGCTAGATTATTCAAAATCTTTTAAAGAATTTAAGACCAAATCTATTTCATGTGTGATATACTGCAGCTGCAGATATCACCTTCCCTTTGACTGAGTAATTTCATATAGAATAAGTCAGTTTAAACATGAAATAAAAGACTAATCCAAGATTATTATGTGATAAAATACCAGACAGGCGCTGCTCTACTGGCAGTGCAATGGAGGCTTCTAACTCCACATTATCATCATGATGTAAGACTATTGATTTCAAGCTATAAATTGTTCTCTGATCCCCAGAAATCACCCAGCAGCTGTTAACTTTTCTCCATGTGTTAGTTTTTTTTTTAAATTTGTAACATGGGTGTTAGAGTGTTTCTGCAGAGGAACTATACTTCCCTATGATGCATGTAGTATGCAGATAAGTAGAATACACCAAATGTACTGTATATAAGTATTTACCAGTTATTACCAGTTTGTTGTATGTGTATATATGTTACATACAGTATGACGAAATGTGAGGTGTGTGATCTGGGTGAAGTAGAATGTGAGTCCCATTTTCTTTTATATGTAAGCCTTTAAAAAGCATTATATGTTTTGTAATGTAAGTCCACGCAGGCTTTGCATAGTTATGTGTATGACAAAATAATACAGTAAAAAAATTAAATGTATTCATAAAGATAAATAAAATCACTTATGCTATATATATTCTACTGTATTTTTGCTGCGAGCGCCTTCAGTAGGCCTACATGGCTGAGGCCTACTAACAAAACACCTGTGATCCTGAGGTGTACGGTTCTGATATACCGCGCGTGGGTCTGAAATGCAGTTCATCGTCACTACTCGTGGCTTACAGCACAATCACACCTCCCCTCAGTGAGGACACATCAGCTGAAAATGACAAGTACTAAAAATTTGGCTTTGTTCTTGATACTTGTTTGATGCAGACTGGAACTCCAGCTGTATCTTGTTGCCATGGTCTTTGCTTACTCTAAAACTAGCAGCAGTGTTGGCAGGCAAATGAAAAACAGGACAAAATATATCATGCTGAATCACTGCCAAATCTGAGAGTCCATTTGGCAGCATAGTGCATAATAAAACCCTTGTTTCTTTTCCATCTTTTATTATAGGTATGCTGGTGTGTTCATTACACAAGAGGATACCAGAAAGCTACCAGGTTTTGATGGTGTAATTAATTTGTCAATTTGTCAAGTGAGCCCACAATTAATTGCAAATAAAGGATGTAATCAATACCAGGAAATGAGTGGTAAGACACTATTAGCTTTAAGGCAGGTTATGAGCAGGATGCAAACAGAGGTCAGGAGATTACATGAGGAAAAAGAAGTTAATGACCTCTGTCAGAGAAAGTGATTCCTGAGAATGAATGAATGAAAGCAAATGATTAAGTCACTTTGTACACTCGACACCATTCAGATGAAAAGGAATATCTCTTTTCTGTGATATGCTTATTTAATCACCCACCATCTCCATGGCTACAAAGTGCAAACCTTCATCACATGGTTTCTTCTTGGAACTGAAGTCTAATGCAAGCACGCCAGCACACACAGATCTGGTGTCGTATGACAGCTAATTAACGTTCCCTAATTTTCCTGTCTCCTGTGACCTCCCTCTGTAATACAGTGGCTCTGTGCGGTGTTTACCATAAAGATCACCTGTCACTGGGTTCCTGTGACACTACTGGATGTCAGCACCGAGTGAAGAGAGTTTCCTGGGCTGCTCACTGTGAACACCACCTGAAACAGGAGAGGCCTAGCTGCTGCTCTTGGTCCTACATAGTGCCATATCAATTGGACACTACAGTTTCAGTGCTGGACATTTGGTGACATTCAACACAAGCATTTAAAGGAATACTCTGAGAATTTTAGGATTTTGGACTTACTTTCTTGTCTAGAGTTAGATGAGATATGATCATCATGCCAATCCATTAAATATGAAGGTACAGTCAGGAGACAGTTAGCTTAGATTAGCATAATGACTTAAAACAGAGGGAACCAGCTAGCCTGGCTCTGTCAACAGGTAAGAATAAAAATAAACACTGAGCTCAAAACAAAGGTGGATTTCCATCCATCTGTTTGTTTCTCTCTCTCTCTCTGACTGGGCACAATACTGTTTTTGTTAAATGTCTACTGCCCAGAAATGTACAAAAAAAGATTTTGCACACCCAAGTCATTAAGATAGTTCAGCCATTTGCTCAGAGAAGGCTTAGCTGAAACATCTGTCTCTGGATTATAAACACACTGAGAACTGAATAGAAGGAACTCTGAACGATTTAGATGTGCAAAGCCTGTTTTTTGTGGCAGACTCAACAAAATAGATATAACCTATTAATTGATGAGCTTTAGAGGTGCTGATAGGCCTATGGACAAAGCCAAGCTGTTTCTGCTGTTACCAGTGTTTATGCTAAGCTCGCAGGCTGCTGGCTGTAGCTTCATATTTAAAGTACAGTATATGTGTAAGAGTGATATCAGTCTTCTCATAACATTTTCAAAAATGTCAGACTGCATCTTTAATATGATGGTTAACAACATTATCCGCCCTTTAATACATTGTCAGTTGAGAGCTGAAGTTACACTGCTAGATGGAAGCAGTGGTTTGCTGCACTCCAGCAGTGTCAGCTAAGGTACTGTATGTCTTCTCTGACAGTTCCATTATTGCACCAGAGAAGCTCTGGTCTGTCACGTCTCACCTCGCTGTATGTTCCTGTGAAATTGCTAATACATCAAAACTAAAATGATCTTAACTGGTCCCACTGAGGCAGAACCGCCTCTCAGTGTAGCTATGACAACAAATTCACCAGGTTGCAATTATAGAAAGTGCTGCGCCACCAGATGCTGGGCAGAATCTAGTTCCTTCTTCACCATCTCCTTCATGGTGACTTTACATTTTTCTTAGTGCATGTCTCTGTCATAATCTCTGCTGTCTGAGCATGAAGATATTCTGTTTAAGATGTGAATGATTAGCAAATGGCTAGTTGCAACACCTCATGGCAAATGCAGCTGTGCTTTATTCAACACCATCAGCTTCCTCTGTGTAAATCTGTAATGAGAAAAACAGAATGCTCAGAGACACAACCGGCCCAGAGTCGTGTTTCAAAGCATCCATGCATCAGCACCTCCCTTGGAGAATTAAGCATCCAGCTGACGCAGCACTAGATATTCAAACACACTGTACCAGAATGCCTAGATTCTTCCAAATCTTACTTTTCTTGACCTACTCTTCTATTACGTGCATGCTGAGTAGTCAAGTTAAACTTTACACATAACAAATCAATCTTACAAAAACTCCTCTTACACACTTAATACCAATGCTCAAACATAAAACGTAACATAAACCATCTACTTTTCATTCTGTCGAAATGAAACACCTACTGTGAGCCAGTTTCCTCTTAAATGATTCAGTAGGAATGGATGGACAGAACAAGCAACCCACTGACTGACCACCAAAGACCACAGTTCTCTCTTTGTGTTTGTCCATACACTATCTCCTACATTAGCATCACATCACTAAATGTCTCCCTGCCCAGCATATTTCTGTGGAACTCTGGAGGTCACAGCCCTCTGAGACACACGTTCATCCTCAGCAGAAAAGTGAGGTCAGAGATACATAATGTAGAAAGAGACCAAGAGGAAAAGCTGTCTGAAGTGTAGGGTACAGTGTATAATGTATGCAGTTGAAATGTACAGGCACTAAAAGCACCCCAAGGCAACAAGCAGAAAAGAAACTTTAGCAGAGACTCATTTTCTTTAACACCCTCAATGAAATGTTATAACGAAGTTGTAAAATAATGATCAACTACAGAAACAGAGTAATAAAGCACAGTAAGTTTTCGGTCCTCCACCAAGAAAGGGAGAAAGAAAAGAAGCAGAGTCTGACATTTAAAATGGGAACAGTTTAGAGGGATCTAACCTTTAAAAGATGACATTCATTCTGAGCTTAGAGCAGGGGTGCCCAAACATTTCCCCTCGGAGGGCCAAAATGAAAATGTGTTACTGGGCTGAGGGCCGGGTGGGCGGTGGCGGCGGCGGCAGCGGGGGGGTTTCCTGGTGCACTTTCTGATTGAAATGTGTTTATTATAAAGGTATTTAACATTTCACTCTTTGTACAAAGAACAGGAAGCAAATACAAAGCAAATAAATCTTTATTTAGCCACAAATTATGTCCATATACATGTCCTTATGAACAGCAAACAGCAGCAGTTTGACACTATTAGTGAGACACATGAAGCTGGTCTTTGGCTTTGACCAGCCTCTCAATGTCAGGCTGAAGCTGACTAACTGAGAGGGTGAGAACGTCCTGCAGGTGTAGATCAGTCAGAGTGCTTCTGAGCCTGGTTTTGTTAAGGTTCATTACACTGAAAGTCTGTTCACAAATGTAGGTGCTGCCAAACAGAGATAACATCACCTGTGCATGCTTCCTAATGTTTGGGTACCTTTCTGGTGAGACGTGTGTGTAGAAGTCCTTCAGTTTCAGTGACATGAATTTATTCCTCAGCTCTGAATCGCACTGAAACTCAATCAGCTCCATCTGAATGTGATCAGGGACACAGTCCACACTTGTGCTGAAGGGTTGGGAAAACAGCTCCATGTCACCTGAATTCTTCCTGAAGTCCTGAAAGCGCATTTCAAACTCCAGGTCTAGGTTGCTGACAAGTGTTGCATATTCAGACAGTTTCTGTTGTACCAGGTTTACCTCTCTCAGACTGGGGAAGTGAGCCAGGTTTCCTGAAAAGAAGTAAAAAGTAATTAATAATTATCAATGCAATAAATATTGCAATTTTCACTCACTAGTAATGTCATATTCCACATATCATACAACTGACAGTTCTGTTCCTCTGCATCACATGATCACATTAACTCACCTGCTGACAGATGTCGACACAGTAGCTGCAGTTTTCTCTGAAAGGCCTTTATGTCGTCAAACATCTCCGTAATAATTAGCTGAGAGGCTGATCTGGGAGAAAGCTCTTGCCTGAGCGGGACACACTAGCTTTGCAGCCGTGGATAAGCATTCTTTAACAAAGTCCCCTGTAGAAAATGAACGTCCACTCCTGGCAATTAGAGCTGAAATCTCACAGCTGGCCTGTGTTGCGCTTTCCTGGGCTGACGAGGGTCGTGTGAGCGTGTTTTGTTGTGAGCGAAGTTTAGCTAACAACTCTCGGGTCTTTGTCTTCCGTGCCTCACCTTTGAACCTTGAGAATGCTGCATGCCTCGTTTCATAGTGCCGGCGGATATTGTACTCTTTTAGCACAGCGACAGACTGACCGCAAATTAAGCAGACCGCCTTAGAATTAATATCCGTAAAAAAATATTCTTCCTCCCAGGTTCGTTTAAGATGCCTAGTTTGGCCCGCAGGCCCCACTTTGGGCACCCCTGGCTTAGAGGCATGGGACACAAAATAAAACATTCATTACAAGAAACTTTGTGATGGAGCTTTTCAGTACAGGGTAAAAAAGAAGAAGAGAGCAGGATAGGAGTATGCTGCATACAATACAGTAAACTACAGTGAAATTCAGGGGTCTCTCAGTCATGCTGTAAAAGGAGTGGACAGAGATTGTCATGATGCCTAGATGACACAACATATGGCAAATGCAGGCAGCTGCTTGCGACCTGTGTGACTCGCTGAACCAGGGTTTGCACATGATGATCTTAAAAAGAAGAAGAGAGCAGGATAGGAGTTTGCACATGATGATCTGAAGCAGGGCTAGGTCCATCAGTTAAGTATCATGCTGTAACTACAGTGGAGGAAAGAAAACAATCTTCCAGTAGCCTCTTCATTTCTGTCTCTCACATATACAGTACATATAAAGGTTAACATTTACATGCCAGGCATTCATAAAAACAGGACACACAAAACAGAGACCAGTGAACATGTGATCACACGCTGAGGATTTCTGGGTACGCTGAGGGGAGAGTTCAGCAAACTCAGGCATCAGGGAGCCAGTGTTGATGTTTGATTTGAATAAACCAGTGCATGAGCAGCATCAGTTCTAAACATCACAGAAAGTGTATTTGACAGCCTGCTTCCTCATCTGTGTCTGAAGCCCATGTTCAGTCCCACTTACAATAATGTTAAAAAAACTTGATACCAGTCCTGATTGATACTTGTATCTATCTATAGTGAAATGTTCATTAAAGTTTTGACAAATTGAAATTAAAATTACTCTGTTTCAGGAGTTTCTTGATCCAAATACTGGATCAAGTCCTGGTTCCTAAGTATTAAGTTTAAAAGCTTAAATTATTGATGTGAATAAAAGAATATATGGGAGCTGAACAACACACTCTCAGAACTACACAACAAAATGTGTACAGGGTTCATAAACACAGTTCTGTAGTGTATACTACAATCACTGCTATAGCTACAAGGCAAGTTTAAGTACTCAGAGTTTATTTGTACAGCCCCGAATAATAGTTAATGGTTTCAAAGGGGCTTCAAAGTGCCCATTTCATGGAAGCAATAATGGATAAAACATTCGCATCATGCTCAAAACCTTAACTACAGCCAAGAAAAGCCAAGTCAAAAGTGTGTGTGGAAAAAAAATGGATCAACTTTGAAAGCAGTCACAGATAGTCAAGTTTCCAGGACATACTTTTCTTTTAACACAAATATAATACTAATATACTACTCTTTTTTTACAGTTTTTGCATGGCCACAAATGTTGTGTATATTCCTAAGAGCAGAAGATGAGTTTGTATAGATGACAGAGACAAGAATGATCCAGTCTCACTTTTAGTGAGCTCCTGGTGGGCCAGTATTCATATTTACAGCCAATATAAAGATATTAAATAGAAGTTGTATATCTGGGTTAGTGGCTGTAATTGTGTAATTATTTGATCCCTGTGTCCAGTCTAAATCTTGTCTTCGTAATACTGTCGGAATGAGAAATGACTGCAGATCATTAGCAGCTAGCACAGAACCAGAACTGCCTGTAGTACACTGCTGATTTCCAGTCTGGAAGGGCTGAGTTTCCCAACTCTATAAAGTTGGAGTGATAGTGACTATGATTTGCAAGAGGAACAAAACTCTAAATTATGGAAGGATGTGTATAATGCTGCTGTCATCCCCACGATCCTGAAGCTGAGACAGCAGACAGACTCACAGACACACTTGTTTCTGGGAAGATTTGTGGAGGTGCAGTCAATCAAGTTTTAAAAATAAAAAACACAATAGCCTCATAATGTGTGGACTCAATTAAACGTTCCAAGCATGAAGCTGAAGTAGAGAGCTACAAACACATGTCAGATTAGTGACATGATGCTCCACACGTTGCCTATATCCATCTGACCTGTTGTAAACTGGCCGACAGTCAAGAATGATGGCCCAGCAAATCACTGCCATACATGGAGAGCCTTTACTGTGCTTTCCTCAAGACACCATTTTGTGTGTTAATCTACCTAATCTAAGCTCACTTCCATTTTCTCACCACACACAGACCCTGTTAACAATCAGCCCTTACTTTAGGTTGAGTAAACAGCGCTTTTCTGCCTGTTCAATGGGCAGCCACAGTGCTCCCTGTATGAAAGAGATCAGTCAGGGAGCTATTTTAATTTGCAGCTGTTATCCTTCCCATTACTAATCTGCCTGCTAGTGCAGCTGGTGCCCTGCCCACCAACAACTGCATTGGCTGATGTGTTAAAGAGAGACTGCAGGGTGTTCTGGTTCTTACAGAGAGCATCCCTCCATGATTCTGCAGGAATCAATAAAGTGATGCATTCACATTTCTGTTCCTCTTGGGACATTGATTTAAAGTGGAGTCAGATTTCTTCTTAAATGAAGGCCCCTTCTAGCTAGGACAGTTTTAACCTACAGAGCCATGAGTAGTGAAATTGTGGGTAGCAACAGGCCTACTCTTAACACACAGCTATATTTCTCTGTAGCCATTTAACTTCTTCCTTTTGTTATTCCCAAATCAGTTCATTCATCTCCCTCTCTTTTCATGCTAAACTCCAAACCAGTGCAATTGCTTCAAATTTTGTGGGTAGACTTAAATCTCTGAATTTAATGTTTGTTTTCATTCTTCTCAATGACACTTGCAAAGCAGTCCTACGTTCCTCAGCTGCACCACCGCTCAGTTACTCTTCTTTACATATCCCAGTTAAACAACTTCATGTCACAAGTAACCAAATTAAATAATCTTTATTAAAGTTGGGCTGTCCTATTTGAACTATGAACCTTAGTGTGTAGATCTTTAACTAATGGACAAGGGATGTCCCGATAACTATGTAAGTGGTTTTGGTGTCTCTGTCACCCCTGTTTCACGTCAGACTCTCTGTGACCCACTGCATAATAAACACAAAAAAATGCCCAAAACATATCCTTGATTTTATCCTTGTTACATCTTGTATGATCCTCATTACATAAACATTTTCCATTTCTGAAATACATTTGTCTTTCAACACTGCAGCATAACAACTTACCAGACCTCTTCTCTGAGTGTACAATCGTTTCTGTAAGCACTATTGCTATTGGACTCAGAGGTCATGTGATGATTAGAAAGGAAATCCCTAGAGATTTGGCAACGCTGTTGTTGGCATTAGAGCCAAGGTTTCCATGGGAGAGCCCCCTGGGATTTCTGCCTAACAATGATCTTGATCTGGGCAGCGTGTTGATGAAGAGGCTCTAATAGGAAGCTTTCTTGTCTCGTTCTCTCAAAGCCCTGTCCAGCTGCAAACATACTGCGCTGACCAGCTGTCTTGCAAATAGACATAATAAGATAAAAACTTACTTGGACATGTTGCTTCATCACCAAATGACTGAGGCCATATGTCAGTGTGTAGTACAACTCCTATAACTTACATAATATAAAACACATGGCACTGTAGCTTCTAATCTGTTATTTATTCCATTACTGATTGAATAAGATTTGGCTGCATAATTGTCAATAGTGCTCATGCTTTGTTGTGTACTTTTTCTTGTCTATTGTTTGTCTTTGCACAAGTTGGTTTGTTCACCCAAAAATACAAACAAAACCTGAATATAACAGGGGGGAAGAAAGATAATAATATAATCTGAGAAGCTGTAATGAGACAATTTTATCAAACTTTGACTTAAAAAATTACTGAAGGGACATGGTGCTTATCAAAATTGCAGGTTTTTTCGCCTGTCACTTAACCATCTGATTGATTTATAAATAATTTCAGCTCTACAATCAGTTAATAGATTTGTTCATCCAACAGCCTCAGGTCCGACTCATGGGATGTTCATACAGTCAGACTTCCCGAACTGTCCCAGTTGAGTGTATGTCTGTTCTCAAGCGAGCTGCATCTAGAACCACAAATGTGTTAAAGTAATGGCAAGGGAGTCAAGTTTCCCACAGATCACTAACCCTTTCAATTTTCATAATGCTGCTCAGTTTACGCAGGACCTGTCTACTCTCAGCTTCTGCTCTTCTGGGAGGTGGAGCTGCCTGAGGTAGTTTGAGAGGTCGGGGTCAAATTCATAATGAGCCAGATAATAGATTTCCAATTATTTTGAGCCTACAGCAGCACATACATCTCATGTGGCCATGACTTGTGCTAGTAGTGTTCATTACCATGTAAACTAAGCATGTAGGTCTTACAACAAACTGGAAAAAGAAAGACAGAGTAGTGGTGTGCACGTTGCTGATATTAATAGCACTGCTTAAGAGTGTTCACGTCAGGGCTCTATGCCCATTCGCCTTCCATAACTTTGTAACCTTCAACATGTGACCCACATTTTGTCCTCTCCTTTCCTTTCCTTCCTGTTCCACCCCAATGTACATGCATATACATCTCTGTGGCCTATATCTCACATCAGGCAAAGATAAGGTGATGTGCTCGTGGCTAGTGTCTGGTAGGTGGAGAAGGGCATGAGAGAAATGAGAGCGGTGAGTAGGCTGAGGCTCTGGCAGTAGAGTGGGGAGAACAGGGACTCCTGGGACTGCTGCCTGGAGATTAGTGGGATAGTGAGTGAAACTCACACAATCCACCCACTCTGCACTGACAGACTAGCAGCTACACTGGTTCTGAGTCTACAGTAGCACAGTACAGTATACCGAGGACAGCATTAAAACCTGTTTTACCGAGATACACTGGCATGTGGAAGTCTTTCAATGTGCTGAGCGGCCACAGGGTTTCAGGTGAGTTACCTGAGGAGGTGTACAGTCTCCTCAGAGACCTCCTCTGTGGTGTCATCCTGGAAAACAGAGTCATGTTGCACTAAGATGATCTCTAGGGCCTCATATGCTCTATACTCCGCTAACCAAAGCACCTCTCCTGTATGTAATTATGATAAATTAACATTAGTTCCATCTCAGCCAGTCCCATCAATATCAGGATACAAACACCACAGAGATGTGACCTTTAATTCTCTATCACATCAC